CCCCCCCCCCCCCCCCGAGAGAAAAAAGAAACTCACTTCTTAAACTGGGCTCGCCACAGGCCACACAGTTAATAAAGTAATAGCGGGGCTCAGCGCGCGCCAAGCACACGCGCGTTGGCGTGGGCGGAGCCCCATAGCTAAGTAAATCTATCAATCTCAGAAAATTTGGTAATCAGGTGACCGTACACCGAGCGAGCGACCGTCCGAGCAATGTTTACTCTCACACTTTCTAGCTAGTTTGGGAGCCCAGGTACAACCATATTGCACATCAATGTTGTGATCAGGAGGGAGTCATTAGTGAACTTACGCAACAGGACGGGAGAGGAAAGAAGACGGCAAACCTTGTGTGACAAGTGTGACAATAATTTTGCTTGAAATAACTTTTCGCCAAACTCCCTTTCTTTTAAACAGATCTTTTGGTAAAAGACCAGAAAACATTGATGTTAGTCAAGATCACGACAAAACACCCAAGTTATAGCCTTGTCACGTTCGTCACGCACAAGCGATTTACCGTCCTCTTCTTCCTGCCGTCCCGTTGCGTAAACTCACTATTAACTCGTCAGCGCGGCTGTCCGATATGTCTGGCCATTGTGACGTCACAGCAAAGTGAAACCTGGCACGAGCCGAATTTTCGAAAATGGCGGTGTCGTTAATGTTTATGTGAACACTTTGAGTTTAATTTTTCCCGTGATTGAAGCAACAATGTGGCTTCTCTTTTTTTGATCGAGGATACCATTACCTCATATTCCAACGGAAGAGGTAAGTGTATTTTGATTACTGCGTGAAAATTCCGCAAAACAGGTCTCTGGAGCGTTTTGGTGAGTCTCCCTGTTAGGAAAATTATGTGTGTGCACTGCGGCATTTCGCTCGCCAAAATTGGTTTTTCTCTGGATAAGCGTATAATATATAATATATAGCGTTTAATAAATGTCAGGGAATGAACCACAAAAATGATCAATGTATTTATTCGAATCAATTTCCTTCGTTATAATTTTGCAATCTTGTTGAAGCGAGGTTGGTTGGGAAAATTTGTTATAAATGAGCTGTTTTGTAGATTTGTCGGCTCTTCAGTAAGATGTATATTTGTATACTGAGAGTTGCTAAGCTTACTATCACCTCGTGAGAAACCCGAACGTGGAGAAGTTCACTCTCCTTGAGGCTCTACCATATCTAATCTAAATATCTGCTCAGCCCTTTTAAACTTTTTGTACAAGTTATATGTAGGGAAAGTCCCGGGAGGTTAACGCTTCAAACAAGACACCAACAGTATAATTTTAAACCGTACTATCAAGCCTGCTTGTGTAAGTAAACTCACTTTAAATTTCTTCTCAATACATCTGGTAGTACAGTGTATAATGCATCAGTTCATTGAAACCCCGGCCCCCTGATCCCCTGGACTGAGCGGGGAATTAAACACCGCTAAAACACCGTGTTAAAACACCGCTAATTTTCCGCTTCCCGGGCAAAGCAGTTTGTTAAAAGCCCCTTATGGTAGAGAATTAGTACTTGTAGTTCTAGGCTTGATTTCAACCGCTCTCCCCTGTCTGGTACCCTGTATTTATTTCTTTTCAAACCAATGGACCTTAGGACGGACCTTTGGAGCCAGTGTAGAAAAAAGGGTTTATCGCTGCCCATATCATAGTACGCGTCGTATAACATCTGATTGGTATACTTGTAAGTACTACATTAAAACACAGCTTTTCCACTTTTCATGAAATGTTGTGACAACTCCCCTTGTTTTCCACCATAAGCATACTAGAATCAATGGCGGGTTTTTGAATACTTTTTCATCGTGTTTATTTTTTTAAATGTAGGACTGAAATCAAGACTTTCTCTTTTTCTTATTTTCCAAAGTTTTTCCCTCATCATTTTACCTTTTTTCCGAGTACTTCGACAAAGTTAACAATGTGCTTGTGATCAAAACACAGCTGAAAAAGAGATCTTGAAGCAAAACAGTTCTGTCTTCCTTTTTGTGATTCTTCCCAATTTTCTGGCACAGGAATTGAGAGACTTAGAAAGGGCTTCGGGGATTAATCTGTCGCCGTTTACGTACCATGTAAACAAATGAGATTTGTGAAGTCCTTGTCAGGCAATGCTCGACCATTGTAGCTCGTTCCATACACGGGTTTTTTTGGTGATAAACTTTTTCCCAGTAACATTTCCTGTTCTGTGGCTTTTACTTCGGTTAGAAGAGCACAGAACGCGTCATCAGAATGGAATGGGCAAAAGAGTAACATTATCGTTAATTTATGACAAATGTATCCAACAGTAGTCGTAATAGAGACAAACGTATGCATTGACATGAAAGCACTACAATGTCTTGTAATGCACCTATCAATGTAAAGCCGGCGGTGGGGTTGGGGAGGAGGCAGGGCATGGGGTGGGGATTTGATTGTCTTTGTTGGCCCAGGGGTAGGGCATATGACTGATCTTGCTCTCCCGGGAGAGGGGATATTTGAATCTCTCTTCACCCGACGTGGGGATATTTGACTGCCGACTCGGACGAAAGAGACTGTGACCAAACATACGTTTCCGCTTCCACGCTTCACGCATGCACCGTACGGTCTTGAAAGATCTAGAAATCATTTAGGCCAATGAGAACAAGCGAAAGGTGAGTGGATTTCACTGTTTTGTCCTCAAATTTCGTTTGTTTTAGCGTTTTTTTGATCAATTGCACCTTTTAAGACACCGCGGTATCAAAGTAAGCGAAAGTAAACAGAAACGAGGTCGATTTTTGCAAGTACAATTGATCAGTGTATGCCGGGCTCATTCGCTACAATCACTGTAAGCTTATAAAACTGACTTTCTTTGTACCCTTTACTAAGAACGGTATATTTAAACTTACAAAATGTGGACCTTCTCATAAAGCTTTCTGTATTCTACGCAGTGTATTACGGATTGAATTGTTAAAACGTATAATTGCAGTTGTAACAGGAGCATGTATCTTTGGTGCTGCAGCAACGTTTATAAATAAAGATTGATTATTGTGCCTTTCTTGGGTCCAGCCTTGGGATATTTGACAGCAATATGCAGCCTGGGGTGGTTGGTTGCATTTGACTGGACTGATTTGCCCGTGGGCAGGGAATGTCAAATCCCCACCCCATGCCCTACCCCCCCCCCTCCGGCTTGACATTAGGGACTTTTAGCACCGACGGTTTTCAGGACGGCTACGGGAACCGGAAATGAAGTCCGACTCTTTTTCGCGCGCGCGAGTGTCACTCTCGGTTTCTTGCCGCCGTAGCGGCCTTCCCTAGTACGGCAAACCGAGTAGTTTGACGTACTGGCGACTACGGGAGTTTTAGGTGAGTATTTTATTAACCTTTTGATTGACTTTTAGTGTTTTCATTTGAAAAACAACTTCTTATTCCTTTTCTTCATAAATTTAGACCAGTTTTCTTTAGAATTGGTTTGATATTTTTGCTTTATTTACGCTTTTTTCACAGGTGTGGAAGACACATGTCGGTCGAAAAGCATGCCAAGTGAGCTTATTTTTGTACATGATTTTGCTTGTCCTTTCCGTTTTCTTTTCGCTATATAACGCTAATAATCTTTATCTAAATTGTTTCTTAACGTTTGGAAGAGGGTTTTTCTTTCAAGTTTTTATCTATTGTTATGTTTCAGTCACCGAATATCTTTTTTATAGCTAGACAAAACATTCCTTTTTTGCCTATGGCTGCTTTAATTTCGATATATAACTCTTGATGGTGTTCAGCTTCAAGTCGCATTTAAACGTGCTCATATGAGTTGCTAGACGTGATAACGTGCTGTATTCATTGAAGGACATCCTCCTTTAAATTTCTCTGCAAGTGGCTACTGTCTCGAACAAGTTTTTCAGTGCAAGATAGGAAATGAAACAGAAAGAATAATTAAGCTTATAGCTGTAATCACTTGCAGTCCTTGACTGACAATTTTTATTTGAGCGAACTTTGTAAAAATCTGATTTAAGCTGGAATCAGTGGAATCACGGTTGAATTTTCTTAATTGTTTCGCTGTTTGTTGATAAAATTTGTAGCATTGTTTCCAAGATTCAATGATTTGTATGTTATTTCTAAGCCATGATCTAGAATCCCTGAATAGCTGAGGGGTTAGTCAGGTTAAAAACTCGTGTCTGATTATTTTGTCTTACTGTAGGGCTGCAATGGAGTGGACCCAAGACCATGATTTGATGTTGCTGAGAGAGACTGCGTTTGAGGACCCTTTTCAATTTAAAAAAGGAAGTCCTGACAGAGGTGAAGTGTGGTCGAAGATAGCAAGGTCGCTCAATAGTTCTGCAGAATTAAAGTTTGCCGTAAAGTAGAGATCAGTGAGGGAGAGGTTTGCACTATTACAAGCTAAGTATAAAGAAAAAAACAAAAAGGATGAGGCAAGCAGTGGAACATCAACACAAATGTCAGAATTGGACCGGTTATTGGAAGATTTCACTGAGAAAGAGAAAGATAGCGAAGAGAGTAGGAATGCTGCAGCTGCTAAGAAAGATAACCAAGACAGAGAAAAGGCAGAAAGCATTAGAAAGACAGCTATGGAAAGGGTAAGCCAGACTAAGAAACGACAGGAAGGGACAGAGCGTGAAGCAGTGAGCACTAAACGAAGACGCAGAGGTGGAGATGAGACTATAGAATACCTTAGAGAAAAAAGTGAGGCAGAAAGAAAGGTACGAGAGCAAGAACTGGAACTGAAAAAGGCAGAGGTGGCACTACAGGAAAAGCGGGCAGAGCAAGGCCAGACCCAGATGCAGGAGATGTTGAGAGTAATGCAACAACAGCAACAGCAGAGTCAAAACATGACAGCTTTGCTAATGCAGCAACAACAACATTTTATGAATGTAATGCAAAGTCTTCTTAAAAAGCCACAGTAGTTATGATTTCGTTAATTGAAACTTTCCTCGTTGCTTTAAAGTACCCTTCAGTGTGAAATATGACATTTTGTCTTGCCCTTTTTTAGCTTGGCAGGGTCTATTTAATAGTCATGCAGATTTGATTAATTAATCTGTTGTAATCTATTTGAGTATAGTTTTATCAAGTTTGTGGACATTAAACAACCTTTGGAAACAGGTTTGTTCGCTCGACTGGTAATGCAGTCAGATAGTGGCGTATTTGTGGATTGCCTTAAATAAACTATTAATGAGAATCCCACACTTAAATGCAGAGATTTTCTTCGACGACTACAGTTCTATGCATGACTACAATTTTATTTTCAGTTGATGTCTACAGGTAGCCCAGTAAGTTACATCAAGTAGTAAAGGCCATGACTATTCTACTCAAGAATGGTTTCTAGAAGCACTCAACATCTATAAACAGTGCTATCATTGCTTTTTGATTTAACTTTGTGAAGTACATCAATTAAAAAAAAACACAGAGAAGAATCTTGTAGTAAACCCATCTGATCTACAGTTATGTTGACTGTATACAGTGAAAAGAAAAGAACCGTAAACAGGAAAAAAAATCAAAGATATCTGTATAATGGACATGACAAAGAATACAGTCTAATCTTACAGGCTGTAGCTGGATGGTTTTATTACCCTTTTACATTGTCCAGTTGAAAACCTAGTAATGATTGCTAAGGTTTTATGGTTCTCTTCATGCAAAGTAATCCTGAATGTGTGGAGGCTCCAGTCCAAAAAACTGGGAGGTTTGATTGCCATAAAGACAAGTAAGTGCATTTCTTAAAAGACCAGATATCACATATAATTTCCCAACACTACTGAGCTCTATTTTTAAAATTTTTTTTGAAGTCCAGAAATTTAAAATAATTGGCTATGTCCCCAAATAACCATTCTACGGAGACCCTTCACTCATGCTTTTATTGTAAGCAGCCATTTGGGGAGTGAACCCAACACCCTGTCGAAAAGGCGCTTGCAAGTGGACCCTCAAAGGGTACGCAGGGTCTCCATACACACACAGTGGTTGGCCGGTAGGGGATATTGCATTGTGTTGCAACATTGGGAGCAATCCTGATTCTCTGAGCATTCCAGCGTCGTGTTTTCTTCCCTCTGAAAGGTAAAAAAGGAAAGTGCCTTCGGTATGGTCAAGCATTCTGACTGGGAAATGCTAATTCCTGTATATGGATGGCAAACATAGTAAACCTTCTTCAGTGTAAAACTGTAAAACTTTTTTCTGTTTCTGACCTGTTTTTTTCCGATATGATTCATGTGCATTAATCTACTTCAAATATGGGACACTTCACAGGCAAAATTTCACAGTAATCCTAGCAAATGTTTTTTATTTTTACGAGATCATACATCAGATTCTTACCAACTGGACCATATAAATGGGCGATAAGACCATTTGGAATGGCTACAGCCTGGAATTTTAAGCTGTGTACACGCTTGTGCCCATTATAAAGGATTCGTTGGTTTGTTCCTGGCCTGGCTATCGGACGCACTGTCCCGTCGATAAAACCAAAACAGTTATTTAGAGGTGCTCCATGTTGATGTATACAATCAGCATACGTTTGCAGGGCAGGTGGATTCAATGCGGCCAGATTCCAGTCGGTAATTCTTCGGCAATAGGCTTCGTAAATGAAGTCCAGAACACAGTTTGTAGCCAGGCACATTACCGATACAGGTCGTTGTCCGAACCTGTGCAACATATCACTGTATCGACACAGGTATGTCAGCCTCTTCAGCAACATGCATAGTGCCTCCATTCCTCCTACAACACTTCTTTGTTCCAAGACAAATTGGTCAGGGATTCCTAAAACCTCTGCTAGAATAGGAAGGTCGTTTTTATGGACCCGAAACTCCGCCAAGCACTCGTCGTTTTGCATGTCGTCGAGATCAAAAAGTGGGTACTGCTCGTAAGGAAAATCTAAGTTAGTTGACCTATTCACATCATACAGGAGTAGAAACTCCTCGTCTGTAATTAACCTTTCATCTAATGCATAGAGCAAATGTTCTCGAGCCTTCTTTAGGGACATTTTCCCCTAAATATCTAGTTTTGTGTCCGAGTCTCTCCGACTATTTCGTTCACGCCGTAGTCAAGGATTGTTTTGGTTGCTAAACTATTTTTATTTTCGCGGGCTTTTGTGCGGACGGCGCCTTGTATCCCCAGTCCCGCGCGATCTAGTTCGCCGTAGCCGTCCTGAAAACCGTCGGTGCTAAAAGTCCTTATTGATAGGTGCATAACGGTTGAATCGAGTACTTTTAGTTGCTAACTTTGGGAATGCGGAAAAGTGGACATGTGTCTCCATTGTCTCTATGTATCTTGGTTGTCTTTATCTAGTAAATCTGGAAGCGTGGAAATGTGGAAATGTGGAAATATGTCTTCATTGTCTTAATTCATCTAGTAACTCTGGAAGTGTAGAAGTGTGGAAATGTGGAAATATGTCTTCATTATCTTAATTTATCTAATAACTCTGGAAGTGTGGAGGTGTGCCGGGAAATGTGGAAATATGTCTTCCTTGTCTTCATCTAGTAACTCTGGAGGTGTGGAAATGTGGGAATGTGGAAATATATCTTCCTTGTCTTTATCTAGAAACTCTGGAAGTCTGGAAGTCTGGAAATGTGGAAATATATCTTCCTTGTCTTAATTTGTCTAATAACTCTGGAAGTGTGGAAATGTGGGAATATGTCTTCATTGTCTTTATCTAGTAACCCTGGAAGTCTGGAAGTGTGGAAGAGTGGAAATATGTCTTCATTGTCTTCATCTAGTAACTCTGGAAGTGTGGAAATCTGGAAATCTGGAAATGTGTCTTGGTTGTTTAATCTAATAACTCTGGAAGTGTGGAAATCTGGAAATGTGTCTGGTATGATTTGGGAATTAAAAATAGGACTGGCGCGGGCCGAAATGACTTGCGTTACTTCCGATTGCTGCATGTCAATCGCAAGACAGTCAGATTGCTAGTTTCAGCTAAACGCCCGGCCGCATATTTTTGTAGTTGCTTGTTCGGGAGAAAAACGGACGGCGTTTTTGTACAGAATCTGACTGTTGCGGGTTTGGCTTTCAAGAAATACGATTGGCGACCAAGTAAGCACGACGATGTGCTTCACTAAGGATTTTGAAGCTCTTTGCTCTATCAACTTTAAAAAAAACGAATAAAAACGATGTGCGAAAAAAACATTATGGTAGTTTGCATTTCACCATGCTTAAGATTATGAACCTTGGTCCGATAAAATGCGTCTCAGTTAGGATTTTTTTCATCAAAATCTGTTTTTCCAGACTAAAATGTCTGATTTTGTGTTTGCGTGAAACACAGAAAAGGCGGATTTTTGATGTGCATAAGGATTGTTCAGTAAGGTCACGCCGAATATATGCAAATAATGCATTAACAACCCATTGTGACTTTCGTTTAGCTAATGTTTTTTTTTAATGTAAGTTATACATGTACATGAAAATTAGCAAGTTACAGTCTGTACCTCTAAGATCAAACGATTTAAAACTTAGTCATTACTACATATATTTATGTTCCTATGCTACGCCAAAAGTGACAAAATATCAAAGATGCATCTTTATAATTCAAATCCACCAATTCACTATCAAGATCGATAAAATTAACATTAATTTGCTTTTTAAATGTGTCAAGATTGTAGAATTTAATTTAAATTCCCACTTGTTTCATGCCATGTATCAAGAGACACGTTTTCTACATCAAGATGCATGTTTTTTAAATCAAGAAGGGAGACGACAATTTTTGATCAGTTTTGTTTCTGAGAGGGACTGAAACCGGGCACACAGGTTGGAATTCAAGGTTTAAAAGTGTTGACGGGCCTGCACGACTCCTGCAGTTCGAAAATAGATTGGTCTTAAAAGCTCTATATTTTAGCTCTTACTTGAGTGTCTTTTAGGGATTTTCCTTTGCGATTTGAAATGAGGGGAGGTTCCTTAAAGATGTTTCTGAGATATGGTTGGTTCTGTATAAGGTGCAATTTCCCCATGAGTATGTTCTTGAGGTTGGGCAACTCAGGGTGGTATTGCGTTACAAAGGGTAGTATTTTTGTTTCCCTGTTCTATTGCTTTCTTTCTGTCTGCGAAAATGACCTCTGAGAGATGTTTTTCTACAGTTGTAGCTGGGTAATCTCTATTCTTGAGGCGTGTTGAAAAATTCCTCATGTTCTCTTCAAAAGAGATTTCAGAGGAATTTGTTGAAACCTTAAAGCTTCTCCTCCGATGAAGCCTTTTGTGACGCCAGGTGGGTGACACGAATAGAAAATCGTGTATTGGAATGTGTCTGTAGGCTTGAAGTGTGTTCGCACGTCAAGGATAGAATCCTTGTTGAGTCTGACACCTTTGTACACTTTCGTGTCCAAGAATGTAGTCTCTGTTTCTGATATTTCAGCCGTTAATTTGATTGTAGGATGGAAGTTGTTTTCCTTTAAAAGGAATTCTTCTATTTCGTTTCTGCTCGTGTCCCATACTGTATGACGTCATCGATAAACTTTTTCCAAAAGATGGGCTTAATGCTGCTCTGTCTGAGTATTTCTTTTTCTATTTTGGCCATGACGATGTTAACAAAGGCTTACGGCCATTTTCGTGCCCATGGATGTTCCATGGGTTTGAAGATAATCTTTCTCGTTAAATTGGAACGAGTTTTCTAGTTAGTGGTAGTACAGTGGTAATGCCCTCTCGTTGTGGTATGTTTGGGTATAGGCTTGTGACGTCCATTGAAACAAGTATGGCACTTTTAGGCAGTTTAATCCTCTCGATGAAGTTAATAAAGTCTGTCGCATCTTTAAGATACGAAGCTTGTAATTGTGCTATTGGCTGAATAAGGTGGTCAACAAATGCTGCGATCCGTTCTGTAGGTCCGGAACACCCTGAGATAATAGGTCTTCCGACAGGTGTCGGTTTGTGGATTTTAGTAAGTGTGTAATACACTGGGATTTGCGGAGGATCAGGCGTAAGGGAGAGCCATTTAGCCGTCGTTTTATCAATGTGGCCTTCTGAGAGCAGTGTTTTAATAAGTTGTTGAGCTTTTTTGGTTGTAGTTTCAACCATTGGTTTGTCTAGAGGTCGGTCAGTTATTTAAATCATCAAGCAGAACCTGACCTTTGTTTAGTTTGTCCTGTCTGCTCATCAATACGGTGGGGTTAACTTTATCAGATTTCTTAAAAATAATGCTTTTGTTGCGCGATAACTCTTTGAGAGCTTGGCGCTCTCCCGTAGGGCGTCGATAAAATCCGGAACATGGAACATCCCGGAACATTCCGGAACATTCCGGAACATCCCGGAACATCCCGGAACATCCCGGAACATGAAAAAATTAAAATATTTTTTTATTAAAAAAAATTAATAAATTGAATAAAAATATTAATAATAATAATAATAATAAATAATAATAATAAAAAGAACAATAGATATGAAACAATTTTTGCAAAAATTTATAATAACAAAATAAAATAAAAGCGAAAAATAAAGAAACAAACAAAAAAGGAAAGAAAAAGAAACTGGTATCATCTCCGAGTATGACAAAACAATATTTTGTCGCAATGAATTTTTTGTGCGAGTGGGGGTCCATTCAAATGACAGTAATGAGTGAAGGCTTGCTTCTTAATTCAAAATATATTAAAATGGGTCGCGAGGAGGGGACACAAAGCCACCTCTTGTTAATGTTTGCCATGAGGTTTAACGGTTATCAATTTACGGCTTTGCGACCGTAAGTAGAGCTTAGGGGCTCGTCGCTTTGGACTTGGATAATTAAATTAAAGATTCACATTCGCCATGAATAGTTGCAGTGGCAGTGGTAGCGCAGCGGTAGTTTCTAACTGTTATCAGTTAGCCTGAATTTTAGTCGTCTCCCCGCAAACTCCTCTTGCGACTCGAGGAGACGTCTGAAATATCATGCTGACTGTAAACAGTATAGAAACTACTACGAATGTGAGTATTGTCCACTAAAATCCAAGACGGGAGCCCCTATACTCTTCTTAAGTTCACAGAGCCGCCTAGTCTGTAAGTAATCCATGTCAACCTCAAGTGAAGCAAAGCACCTCAAGTAATATATAAGGAGAGTATATGTTGGCTTGAAATGAGCTACTTACCGACATGGCTTGACATGAACTACTGCGCCGACATTTCAGACCATCGCAGAACCGTAAATGGATAACCGCCAAATGATTAACTCACGGCAAACAATTACAAGAGGTAACTGTGTGAGGAAAGCTTAAAAAACCCCCCTCCTCGCGACCCATTTTAATATATTTTGAATTTAGAAGCAAGCCTTTACTCATTACTGTCATTTGCATGAACCCTCACTCGCCCAACAAATTTTAATTTGTTGCGACAAAATATTGTTTTCTCATACTCAGAGAGGATACCAGTTTCTTTTTTTTGATTATTTCATTATTTTTCGTTTTTTGTTTTTGTTATTTTACGTTATTATTAATTTTTACCGAAACTATTTTATTATTATTATTTTATTATATATTTTTTTTCATGAAAATTATTTTTATTTTTTCATGTTCCGGGATGTTCCGGGATGTTCCGGAATGTTCCGGAATGTTCCGGCATGTTCCGGAATGTTCTGTGTTCCGGGTTTTATCGACGGCCTCTCCCGTAGACATATTATCTTTTGGCTTGTCAAATTCAATGGCTTGCGAGCTCTAATTTTACCTCCTCTAGGATGGTCTCCAGAGCTACAGATGGCTGGACTGGTGGTTCCCAGTCCGACTTCACGTGTAAAGGATGAGATTCGTTTTCTTCCGCGTGAAAAATATATTGTAGTCGCATTCGTCTCGCAAATTGATTGAAATCCGCGAGAAGCTGGCAGGATAAACTTTAGACCACGCGACAGTAGAGTAATTTGCTCATCTGTCAGTTGTTCATTTGACAGGTTTTTGATATACTATTTGCTTGACTCGATGGCGTTACAAAAGCGCTTTTTGTCTTTGATTTTTCTCCGCTCTTTTCTTTTGCGGTTTTTGGCCGCTTTGTTATCTGTGCGGTTTGCTTTCCCTTTTCCCCTTACTTCTAAGGAGTCTGATA